TAATATAGTATATATATATANATATTATATATATATATATATATATATATATATACGCTTTGTTTACATTCTCATATCTGTAAAATAATTATGAACTTTGAATTATCTACCCACATACTCTCGCTATATATTCACCTATGCGCCAATTTATATTCACTGTACCATAAACTACCTCTGTGTTCACTCTAGTACACATAGATCCCGAACACTTGACCTACTCTTCGTCGGAAAAGCAAGATAGGGTGTTTATGGCTCAATGTACCCTAGTCCATTGGCTCTAGAACATGCAGTTACATACCCTTATATTAACAGTCACCTACGCCGTAACATATACGCACTCCTTTTGTTCTACAGACGCGCACTTACCAATCCATTACACATACAGGGCCAAAATTTAGCCGCCGAGCACGTCGTTGGCGAATTAAGATCTGTTCTACGTGCCTCTATATTCTCCAACCATTGACTATCAATTGTTTAGTTACGCACTCAGGAGTATATTACACCTACTCTTCCTCCTACTCTGTAAGTCGTGCAATCTATTGCCTCCACTTATACTCTCGCACAATCGCATCATGCCCTCAATGTATACCCACATAGGACCTTGACAAGCCACCTAGTGCGTCGTTGGCGAAGCAGGATGTGTTCTTTGTGGCTCTCGCAGATCCCCAGTTTGGTTTAATGAATCAAGACAAGCATTGGAAGGAGGAACAGGAGCGATCAGAACGCGCCGTGGTGCTTATAAATAGGCACGTATGATATTAGTTCACGCTCATTGTTGTGGGTGTTCTAATGGAAGATATATACCAGTGCCTGTATGATCGCAATTTATATTTATGATCCATTGTACAGCCACGAGGTTATGGTGTCTGTCAAATAGACTTGTGAACGTGGTGCTGCGGTTCGTGCGTAGGTGTGTGTTCGTGTACATCACGGTTGGAACGAGCGAGCCAGTTGACAATTCTGTCTTAGCCAAGGTCATGGTCATGACCCTACGCAAATCATGCGATATGATGTTGCTCAATATTTCACAGCAG